CCCCCCCCCCCCAAGTGGCCCTACAGCCCCTGCAAGTAAGGACTGGAAGTTAGTCAAATCGGGATTATAGCTTCCCTTCAGAAAGCACTTTCCAATTTATTAGAGTTTTCTGAACACGCGAGGGTTCTCCGTCACCGAAGCGTGGAGCGGAGACCGGGCTGGGCCACCTCGTTGGAACCGTGACGAGGAAGGACCGGGGTGCACGTGTGCGAATGCTGGAGGCGTCGTGCCGCCTTCTCGCAGCAGCCTGCCTGGGAAACCTCGTTAATTCTGCGTTCCCCCTGCGTCCCCACCACCCCGCCCGTGTGAACGTTGTCAGCGGCTACTTCAGTGGGTATCGAACGGCATTATATTTTCTCCCTCTGTTCTGCCCAGCAAAGCCCGGTTCCATTTCCTCTGGGCCTCAAACTCCCTAAAAACTCTCACTGAAAAAGAAACCCCGCACAGTGCAATTCCAGGGTATAGAATTGTACTGTTGGTCGTCGTCCCGAGCTCCTTGGATCCAGCACCCCGTGTACGGGGCCATGTGCTGTACGGGCCCGGGAGGTCACTGACACCCTTAGTCCAGATTTACAGATGAGGGAACCGAGGCTCAAGGGGTGGTAAACGTGAGGGAGCCTGGTCAGGAGCCCACACACCAGGCCGCCTTCCCTTCCTTTGGCTCAGTGACCGGGAGTGGCCCGGCGCCGTGGGTCGAGGCCACGTTCGGTTCGGTGTGCCCTTCTGACCTTTCCCCCTCTCTCACAGCTTCATAGCCGTGGAGAACATCGACAGCTACTGTGTGCTCATCTCCTCCAAAGCCGTTTACTTCCTGAAAAGTGGGGACTATGTGGATCGAGAGGCCATCTTCCTGGAAGTCAAATACGACGATCTCTACCACTGCCTCGTCTCCAAGGACCACGGGAAGGTGTATGTGCAGGTGACCAAGAAGGCAGTGAACTCAAGCAGTGGAGTGTCCATCCCTGGCCCTTCCCACCAGAAGCCCATGGTGAGTACCCACCTGGCCTGTCTTCTTCGTGCTGCCCCCCCTCCCCCCCGAATTGGCGTATTCCGTGGCTGAGAGATAGAAAGGGCCCCCGGATCGCCTCTGCCCTGCTTATGCTTTTCAACAGGGATTCGCTTTAGGTTTACGCTGAGCGGCCACTAATCCCCAGGGGTACTGCTTCTCAGTCCTGCATACAGAAGGAGCTCAGTGTGTGCGTTAACTGGGGTGACACTGCCCTCCCAGCTCTACCAGTAACGACCCCACCAGTTCCTCGGCACTTGTGCCTCCACTGACCGTCGGTACAGCACAGACAGCCGTGCCAGCTCTAGTTAGTGGGGGGGACCTAACGACGTGATACGTGGGGGGGGGGGGGTTATCCCTAAAATGCGACTCTTCGGTGCACTGAACCTAAGGTCTTACAGCACATACTGGCTTCTCTGTCGTTTCTCCTCTATAACAATTGCAAACTTTCCTCTTCTGCACAAAGAAGCAGTATCTAGCATAGCGAAGGCCCTTCCCCGGAATAAACTCAAAATAAGTATTTGTGAATAAAATGGATACTTTGCCTCCAAAGGGTACAAGGTACTGTCACGGCAGGACTTGCATTTGAAAGCTATTAGTATTTAATAACGTTCCTATTAATAACCAGCATCCATTAAGGATGTGCCCTGGGCCAGGCTGGATACTAAGTACTTCCTGAGGGTCACGTGCTGTTGTGCTGTCGTCTTTCCCACTTGCCTGGTAAGGAGGCTTGGTGAGGGCAAGTGCCTTGCGCGAGGTTATATGGCCAGCGCTGGAAGGAACTGGGGCTTCAAACCCGGGTAGTACGACTCCAGAGCTGGCGGTCTAGACCACTTTGTTTGCCGCTTCTGCTCGGAGAGACCTGTTGGCTCAGCAGAAGCGCGTGTGAGGAGACCCGCCATCTCCATAGTCTGACTTGGAGGCTTTTCGTGAAACCCAGGTGTTCGTCATGCTCACTTTTCACCCGGCATGCCGCGATTTTCAAAGCTGCTCTTGAGAATGATGTGCCATTCAAAATGGCCCTGCTTCTTCTCCCCGGCTCTCTCTACAGATCAGAAACCACAACCAACCTCGCTGGGCCTCTCTCCTCAGAAACCCCTTGACCTTCCCCTGCTCAGGAATGCACTTGGGTTTGGCTTGGCTTGCGCAGGCTCCCCTGGGGTCGTCGGCTTAAGCCAGGGCTGGTAGAGTCACAGAGTTAACACCCAGAAGTTGAGTATTTCCACAAGTTCCTTTTTGTGATGGGGAGCCTTGCCCAGCTACACTTCTCTCCTTTCAAAGCAGCTGAGCAACTCAGCATTCCTGATAGGAAAGGCCTCGAGACGTTAGTTTGAGGATTCTTCTTCCCTCTTTGACTGGCACCAGACATTAGAGGTGAACCCCCTCGGTGCAGCCCTTCTTCTTGCTCTCGGTCCTGCCTCAGCAGACCCGTCTCCTCAGAGCTGAGGCTCGCTGGCTGTCGGTTACAGGGCGTCCCAAGTGTCAGATAACTGTGGCTTGGCTACCCCGTCACCTGGGACGTATGTCAAAGACGCGGATTCCAGGAATCTGCCCGCGTCCTGTGATTCGTTTGGCCTCCACCTCGGGGGCAGGTCACTCATTCTGTTCTGCTCTCCAGGTCCACGTGAAATCGGAGGGCCTTGCCGTCAAGTTGTCACAAGAGATAAACTATGCAAAGAGCCTTTACTATGAGCAGCAACTTATGTTAAGACTCACTGAAAATCAAGAGCGGTTGGAGCTGGACTCCTGAAAAATCCCAGCTGCCAGAGAGACGCTCGCAGACACAAGCCCCAAGTCAATCGGGAGGAAAGGCCCAAAGGCTTGGCCTAAATCAGAGGCAAAACCGGAGAAAGGTTGGGGGGTGGGCTGTCAAGGAACGAGGGGACGATACGAACGGAAACCGTATTAATTTGTGGGTGGGTTGGGGGGTTCCTTTAGATTGCGGGGAAGTAATTTTTAAAAGGTATTGGCTGAATAACGTTAAAAAAAAAATGTATTGAGATGAATCTAATTTTTAGATTGCCCTGTATTTTGTTAACATGTATATATGTACAACTGTGTGTTTGTAAATATGCAGGAGCGTTTCTGAGCAGGGCCTGTGACGTGTGTAAAGGTTTGTTAGCTGTAAAGTAATATAAAGTTATATTGGATCTTCTGTTGCACTAATTCTGCATGTGTAATTCAGGGTACTCGCTACAAAAAAGGCATTCTTGAAAGGTGAAGAATGTTCCATGTTAGCTTTGGAAACCAGAGTATTTGCAGGAAGAGGACGGAGGGGAGGTGGGCGGCCTCGAGGCTGGAGCAGGAGGGCAGCCCCCAAAGGAGGTGGCTCAGAAACCAACCCGTCTTTTATTTATTTCCCA